ACATCAGGACAAAAGAATTGGCTATGACAATAACCCAATCTTGTTCCTTGAGACGCGTCGCTCTGTTTGGACAAAATTTACTGTCTGTGTAAGCTACTGGATGGTAGAAGATATACTTCCCACGGCCATGTCACCTTTTTTGCTTGTAGAACATGACCATTTGTTGATTGATTAATTAGATTGATCGGATTCTTGTCTGTGTTCTTACTGTTAACTTGCTGCCTTCAAAGTCTCCCAACTTCCGAAATACTTTGAAAAGCGCCACGTTCTTAGAAATTGCATAATGAAATATCAATTACCCAGCGTCATTTCTGGTGTCCTTATGAATTTGCCATTTCATTTTTTTTCAGTCAAAAAATAAGCATTTTGTGTAATATAATTTGTCATTTGTAATCATACCTCGTGACTGTTGACTTTTCTTCAGTGGGCCTACTTCTTCTAATCAAATGCCTATAAATAATGGCATGTTGGTGGCAGACAAAGGCCACCCCCACAATAATGTGAATGTTAAAGAGATGATATTAATCCTTACTAGTATAAAATTCCCCAGTTACTACAATACACTGTCTCAATCTCAAGTATTATGTAGTTTATAATCACAAAGTTAAATACTGGCTATTTCAAGTAGGGGCCTAGAGATAACGTCAAAACCCAACGTCGTTAACTCTTAGCTCCGTACAAATTTAGCTTGGTATATAACAAAAACTGAAATGCACCTGCTATAGATGTTTGTTAAAAAAAAGCCAAAATTGTTTAAAGTCACTGGAGAAGTCGATCATCAAGATTTTGAGAAAAGAGAAAAGAATCCTGGCCATTCATTGTTGCTCTGTTATGCTTTTGGAAGCAGACGGCTACACAATCTGTAATCTCGTAAGATGAAATCTCTTTGAAGATCTCGAGATTTGAGGTATACGATGAAGTGTGTGAGGAGCCACATGCCTATCGAGGTGACGTGTTGGGGGGTTTTCAGAGTATTAACCACAATCCGTTGTACACGTTTGGTTGTCCACAAGTTTAGATTGTCGCCACGTCGTCTCTTTACCAAATCAATCTGTCTTCTGTGGTGATAAATTGTCTTCTTTGAAAATTTTATTAAATTTTTCATTTCCTCTACACCGAATTGGCAACTCCATCGTGGAACGCATTGATAGCACTACCAATTCCTATGAGGGAAAGAGGGGTATGCTGAGAGTTCTTATTCTAAGGTTTTTAGCAACCACTGTTGGCATGGTTAGTTGTGCTAGTATCACAAATGATTCAGTGGAGAAACTTTTCATTCAAATCTCTTGAGTACAAGGCTGTTGTTATTTACGATAAAAACAGACCAGCTCTGTCAGCCATCAAATTAAGGCAGAAGGAAAGTTTCGCCCATCGTGCACCGAAGAGTTGTCAATAGTTTCAAGTTGTTTTGGGAGTGACCTTACAAGATACCGGCGGTAGGTTGTATTTGTTTAAAAGATAATACTTGCCTCGGTTATCATGAAAACACATACACTCATATGTCAGAGGTGATAATCAGGTTCAGCCCAAATCATCTTTCCGGTAGTGTCTCTATCATTGAAGACCATTTTTGTTGATTATTGTTTCTTATGTAACATCATATCCAATCTTACACAATGTATATTCCTCTCTACAACTTCCGGGTGTTAGCGCCTTTCCGGTGATGCTTAGCGTTGATAATGACCGCTCGCAGGAAGTAAACGTGTTGAAGATTTCCACCATATCACAATTTTGAATCAACTTTTTTGTCAAAATTTGTAGACTAATATTGTTGCTAGTAATTGTACAGACTATCATATTAATGAATTGGATGAAAAATGAACACTGCAAGATTTAGGTTGCACACTTCATTTTCAAACTATTTCAAGTTTTTTTTATGCGGACTGATCTGTGGTATTTAATAATTGGGACAAATTAGGCATTTAACAATAATTACACATATCGACTAGCGACAGTTAAAAACAGATATCCACGATGAAATATTTAAAAAATTAGTAATCCCAACTATATAATTCGTCGCCAATTGACTGAATACATTACTCACTGAAAATATTGTGTGGTTTCCTTTGAGTCAATTGTTATGGCTCAAGCCACTGACTGAGCTCATGCGAAAACAAAATTGACCATGACCATCTGGCTTACTGTGACAATCTTGAAGATTTTCTTAAACAATATGTATGTATATCTGATTATCTGTCTTGTAATGGTGTGTGTTCAAAGAGGAATTGTTCACTCATTCACTCGATAAAAAATGTCGAGGGGGTCGAGTTTTATATTGGGAAAATCTTCCCAATTTCATTTAGAAAAAACCTTGAATTTTAGGACAATCTAGTTTCAGCTTATCGGAGATTGTAATGTGAAACTTGTTATTTAGCACTCTCTCCCTTCGGACCAAAACTTCTGTTTTAAAGGTGTCAAACTACAAGACAAACAAATTTAGTAAGCTTTAGTATATAATGATTACCTACGCTAATATTATCATATTCTAACAATCAAAATACGGCTGGTATAATCGAAAACATTAATCTCCTTTAACCAGTCGTACAATAGAGCACTAATCGTTTTATAATACACCCCTAAATCAGTCCTTGATATACTCCTTTATGGCTTGTATATCTGAGGGCACTCGAGGGAGGTGGCCTTACTTGAGTGTCCATTGTTCATTAATTTGATCGCACACTCCAGATTTTACACATTGTCCCATCGTTTAGATTAACTCTCTATCGTTTTTGACAGTTTTACAAATTGGTCAGCAAAGCATCCAGTTAAAGTGGATTTCTTACCACAATGTACAATTCATTTCATTTCTTTGAATGTTCTGTATCGTCAATAAAGCTTTTATGTTTAAAGTAAATGGATCCAAATCCAGTACTTTTACTGCCAGTGGCCTACGTACAAAGCACCTCAAATACTATACCTTCAAACAAACGATGTATTAAATTATATATCTGAATTATTAGAAATATAATTATTTCAAAGTTTTGAATTGGTTAGAATTTGAGCTCAGACTTCGTGAATTGAAGCAAAGATTTCTGTACTTGTATCAATCTATTGTGGTAAAATCGTGGTCAATCTTGTCTCACACCTTGTGGTTCTCATTCCAATTTATTCTACAGTTTTTGAATAAACCTGAAGACCTGCTCTGACATTCTCATCATGGACTCTTGTGGTCTAGACTATATTATAAATATTGCCATTATCTCCTTACTATTTTCAATAAAAATTTAAAATGTTATCTCGTGGGACAAACCATGTATTTTATATAGAAACACAAATAGATTAATGTTTTGTTTATCCATATCTTAGACGTCCTTCAATATGTTTTGATATTTTTTTTTATCCATTTACAATCATAATTAAGATGCCCATTTTCAAGTTTAGATCTTCATAGAGCCACGTTCGGTTTTACACACATACTCTCTACCATGAATTTCATTTTGTAAAAAGGGGATGCTTGTAGGAAAACAGCAAAAACTAATATAGACGTAAAACTTGATTGAAGCCACAATTTTGTAGCTTATAGCAATACAAGAACATTCATAAAGTACAACTTTTGCAAGAACAGAGCCAGATTCATTTTTAAAATTATTTTGTCGTTGGATGTTCATATAGCCTACCTAATTAATCAAACTTGATAAATTGAATTAAAGTACAGTTACTTCTAAAAAAATAAGCCATCACCATAAGGACCATTGAATCTTTGCCTTATTTAAAGAATTCACTTCAATCTTAACCAACAACCAGATCAATAATTCATTTGAAAAATATGACAATAAACTAAAGCGACGTCCTTCGTTCTCTCTCAATATTATTTCTCTAAACATATAATATTATATTTGTTCGAGTAAATCACAGTGGTGAAAATAAAAACCTTGTACGCCTGTCAATAAATCCATATTTTCTTCCTTTGTTCATTTTGAATATTGGTTTGAATCGTGGACGGTGAATAATGGTAAAGATTTGTTCCATTCAAACCCTAGTCTTGTTGACAAAGACTACAACAAATTGATAATTGTTACTAATCAGTAATTAGGAAACTTATCTCCCTTTCTTAATAATATTTCTATTCTTCTTTATTATGTAAATATATTTTATTATATTCTATCGATCAATCGATTTCTCAGTTTTGTAAAAAATATTTTACTTTGATTCGTGAAATTATCTTTTATGAAAGCCCATTAGGTTTTCAGCTTTTTAATGTTATTTCGTTTTTTATTTAGTAAAATTACGAGACGTGTACTCTATGACCTGAATAATACTATATTCTTATATAAATATTGATGTCGGAAAGGATTATAAGGGAAAATAATAAAGTAAATAAATACTTTACTTTAAAGTCGGGTCATTGTCATTTAACGGTAATATTCATGAAAAGTAAGGGATAGTCATAAAGGGGATATTTTAAGTTCCAACTCTTGATATTAGAATAACACCTATCGTGGCGAAATTAATGTTTACAATTCTTGCATATCTTGGTTCCTTTTGAGCAATCGTCTCATCGTGCAATTTGTATTAATTCAATACCAACGTTGGAAAGACTGGATAGGATTTCCTGAATGTGAAATTTACGAATTGTTTTTCTTCTACAATAACGAAATTTGAAATAAATTTCAACTTTTGGACATATGACAATTGTCCCTCAAACTGGACATCAGAAGCTATGAGAGTATTTTGGTCATTAATCTATCTAACATAGGTTACTCGTGCTGGCTGTCAGCCGGTGTATGTTTTAAACCCCTCATCCGACTCGGCTTACCCGACACTAGCAGACGATATGACTCTCAGTCAGCCATCATTTGACAGCTTGAGTAGCGAATAACATTTACTCCGTCAATCAATGCAGCCATTCGAATCAACCATTGGTTAATGTTTTCGCTAAACCCCGCCCATAGTATAGTAAACAGACTAATGTTGAAAGGCGACCAATCAAGTAACTCAATTCAATGTCTTGAAGTTATAGAAGTATTTCATGTCAGTTATTTCATACAAGTTTTTAAGTGTGTTGTGTTCGGACTGAATTTACCGTTAGCCGAACTGTCTTAGTGTTTGCACGTGCTTTTCAGTGTCAGGAATTCGGAGAATAAGCCTGTCTATAGGAATAATGACGGCGGATAGTGTCCCCCAGCCCCCTGCCAGTAAGTTTACCTATTTTCATATTGTGACAATGTCATGGCATGTCAGCCCACTTATGGCACTAATTTTCACAATATTATGCCATGTCAATGACAGTGACAGCATTGTGTTTAAAATGACATTAGGTTTTTATCGTAAAAAATTGAAATGATTTTGAATTTATTTCAGAAAAACAGCGGCGAAACTCAGTATGTGTTGGTTGTGGTTCCAATATACATGATCAGTTTATTTTACGAGTGGCACCGGATCTGGAATGGCATGCATCTTGTTTAAAATGTGCTGACTGCAACCAGTATTTAGATGAAACATGCACATGTTTTGTACGTGATGGGAAGACATATTGTAAACGAGATTACGTGAGGTAAGCGTACGTTCTATTAATCATGACTTGACGAAATGTCTTAGTACATTTCTTAAATCAAAAAATAGAAATATGTTAGTATGCTTATATTAGTATTCTAAAATTCGGTTATGGACTTGTTAAAAAAACTGTTCATGGAATCACATGGGGAAGGTTTCAATATCTAAACTTTTCTGCGACTAAACACCCATAATAATATATCTTGTAGCAAAACTTTTGTTCCTACAGGACTGAGTTCATACTTGAATATGCTACATTGTCATTATCTAAAATGAATCCTAATTTAAAAGAAAATTTTCCGGAAGTATTCTCCTTTCATGGGACTTTAGTGGAGTACAATTTTACTCACAGTATTTCTTCAAAATTATTTGGAATTGTGTTCGTCAACATTTGTGTCGTTCTGTACTTCTTCGGGAACACCTGCCAGTCTCTGACAGTTTCTAGATATACTTCACGAAGTCACATTTGTCTTGAAAAAACTTCTGGCCATTAGTGAAGAGTGTATTTATTTTCAAACCCGAGGCCAGATTTTAGAAATAAAAATATTTTCTTAATATACTTTTATTACAGCTTACATATAAATATATCATTATAAAACATTATAGAATCGGTATAGACTAAGTCATTATTTTGTAATGTTTTGTCTTTAGGGTAAAACTGTAAAACTGTAAAACTGCATCCATCTCCAATTACTTCAGTCTACAATTGGGTGTACTTTCGGTTTTTCATCCGAGCACTTATCGAACTCTGAATGAAAGTTACCAATTTGGCACTTTCATACCTTAGGTGTCCAAATCTTCTAAAAATACGATATTAAGATTGCGATAATCAACTTATTTCCTTATTTGAATATATAAGATATAGAATTGAATAATCTCGCTAATTGAATAATAACGCAATAAAGGATGTTATGACCACGGTACATGTAGGTGATAAAACGAGAAATCCTGGAATATTTTTTTCTATCGAGGACAAAAGGCTATTTTTGAATTATGATTATATAAATATACAATTGTATAAGGCGTTATTTTTATAGACTTTGTATAATATTGATGTACGTTACGTTATGTTTTGTATAAACAATCTTTTAGACTTTATATTATAAATTTTTCTAAGAAATTTTTATCCAAATCGATCCATTCTTGTTTTCCTAAGAAGAAAAAAATATCTAAATGACAATCGCTAGTACATTTTAAAGTTTACAAAATGGCTTTTTCAATATTATTCTTTATAATTTGAATATTTTGAATTTATATTGTCTCAGAATTACATTGATCTAGTCTGGTTGAGTTTTTGTATTTTAAAGATTTCGTCTGGTTGAAAGTCCTCTGATATTCGCCTTAAGCATATTTATTTTGATTCATATATTAACCGAGCATTCATAGATATATATTTTGAGCCTTTTTATGTGTGAATAATGAACTTGAATGTATTAAAATTCAACTGAACGATTGTCAATGCCCCGATTTATCACTTCATGCAGTACCAATGTCGTTCAAACAAATTTCTGTCCATCTGTCGTTTAGTAAACTAAATCTGATAAGAAACGGCAGGCGGCTGAAATATCCTCTTCAATTTTATCAGGCTCTTTTTAACATATTGTACTGATACAAAATGGATTAGAATCGGCCATTTGCTGCTTTAGAGGCATGAAATTAACCAGTTAAAGTATCTAAATAATCATAAAGAAAACTACGGACAGACTTTAATTTAATTCTAAAATATATCTTGTTTGATTGCTCGTTTTTTCGATATTTGAAACAACTCTCTGAGTTCTGTGTACAAGATAATATTGTTCACGAAGCTGCATTATTGTCGACCAACTTTCTGCTTGAAAAGGAAACTTATTAAAACTGACAACTGTTTGGTTCAAAAATAAATTTTTAACTGCAGAGATAAAATATGAATCATAAAATATTGATTGTTTGTTATGGTTACCAACTTACTAAAAGGCTTCACGTTACACTCTATAAAGCATTCAAAAGGCAAAACCAAATAAAATAGTTTATACATGTATATTAATTTGTATGTGGTATATTTCTTTAAAATATTTATTGATACTATCGTATACCCATTTGAAAACTAGTTCATCCTACGCAATATATTATATTTACCACAAGCATGTATTCAAACATAAACGTCAGCCTGTGGTTTGTTTAAAAGACTTGAAAAGAAATTTTATTGGCAATATTAAATGGATAACATATTCAATGAAGAAACAAATTAAGAGAAATGTATTTAAAAATGGAATTGTGTGAGTTTATGATAAATATATTAAAGAAAACTTATGTCTCCTTCTAAAAATTATATTCACATGGTTTTTTTTTAATTTTCTCTTTGCAGATTATTCGGTACCAAGTGTTCAAAATGTAGTCAGGGTTTTAGTAAAAGTGATTTTGTGATGCGAGCTCGAGGACAAGTATTTCATATAGACTGTTTTAGATGTGTAGCTTGTAGCAGGCAGTTGATTCCTGGCGACGAATTCGCCTTGAGAGAAGATGGAATATTTTGTAAAGATGATCACGACGTGGTGGAGAAGGCAGGGTGCGAGTCGCCCCTCCCTAATAATAATAATATAATAAACAATAATAATAATAATGAGAAAAAATATAACAAAAATAAACATGGTGATGAACATGTGGATATCCAATTAGCAGGTTCGTTCATTTAATTATTTTTTATTCTGTTCATATTCAATATACTTATATCATGTTCATCATGTTCATATAAATTTGATGAACAAACATTCACCGTTACAACACTTAACCTCGCGCTCTAAATTTATTTTACTTATACAAAGTTTTGACGGGCTTGTTATTCGGCCTATAAATGATGATTTTCGATTTTAACGATTTTTGAAATGAACTTGTATATATATATATATATGACACGGCAAATATCTACTAAGCATGTCTCATTATACAAATAGTTATCACCTTTCAGTTTACTAAACCCAACTCATTTTGAGATCCACGGGGTTAAAATAGCTTCTCAAACGTCCACAGAGTAGCACACCGTCGAGATCTCCTCAACTCCCTCTTCACTCATCGACCCAGCATCACATTTCATTTTACCAATTTGTCAAAACAATAAGCGAGTGTGAAACGAATAGAATTTTATTGAAGACCTTCTTCACTTGGAGAATTCAAGTCTTGAATTGAAAACAATTGAATGTCAATCAAATAATCTTTCTTGATACTTCTGGAAATTTGAGGTCATTTAGGAATAACATAATAATAATAGACTACGATGATCTATGAACGAGCTGCAACAGGGCATTATAATTTAAATATTTATATTTAGTAAAATCAAAGAATAACCACAGTGATCTGTTCTATGGTCTAGTTGTTTGGTATTTTAAGGATATTCTTTGGTAATAAAATTTTATCTTTCATATTCCTATATAACTCTTTTTATATACTAAAGCCTAATTTCATTTTTGGAAATTCAAATGTTTTCTCTTGACGTTGTGTGAAGTTGGAATTGCATTTCACTTGCCTACTGGTCCTGTTAATTTCCATAATGTCAGAGACTTGACATAAACTGACACACGCTGACATACTTACCCTCATCATAATTCTCAAAAAGACCATAAGTATTGTTGTGGAAAAATCATAAGAAGATTAATTTGTCTCTATCAAAAATAGACGTCCTCCAGTCAGTCAGCTAGTTTGTTTAAGATATTAAAACGTTGCTAAGTTAATGCTAGTTATTGTTCATTGTTAAACAGAAAAATTAAAATTCAATAATTATTGACTAATCGATTATAACAGATCGATATAAGCAATCAATATAACGACAAGTTATTTATTATAACTTTGATTATTCATCAATCTCTTTCAGTTATAGAATCTAATATGCCCTGATATTTGATTTCAGATATATCAATTCAAAATTCAAATTATTTTGTGATTTAAATAATATTCATTTCTTTCATTCTTTCATTTTGATTTGATCTGAATTAAGCAAGGAAAAAATAAGATTTCTTCAATATTGAAAAATATTTCTGCAGTAGAGATTTTTGGAGAAATTCTTAACCCCTCCTTACTCTTGAAAGTCACCATTTCCATTGAGCTATAAAATATTTCTACTTATTTTAGTTGAATTATTTTTTCGCTGAAGTTAAATTCCTAGAATTTGCAAAGGAAGATACATGGTATATTAAACTTTGGTAATTTTATTTGGTATCAGCCCGATGATAAAATGGCGAGTTTGATCCTGAAATATAAGAAGTAATTAAATAAATATAAAATATATAAAAGATAAGATATAAGTAATTAAAAGATATAATACTCATTATTTATATCCATATACACATTAATATTACTTATCTCTTTATACTGCACATTACAAGGTTATATTTTTCTTCAATTTGTATACCTTTATCATTATCTGATATATTTGTTTTGAAAACAAATCTACAAATACGTTGCTCCTTTGGTAGTCCGAGCAGGCGGTACCTTTGAAGTTGTAAAGATCAAAGACGGTGTATACAAATATGCTAATTAGTAATCTGGAGAGTATTCTTAACGATACCTGTAGTAATCTTAAATATAATTAATACTTAAATATTTTATTAATTTTTATTGTTTGACATATTTTTTGATTAACATTTGCTCTCTGTACAATTTACAGCATCGATTGTTTTCAATGATTCAATATAATGTTAAATGAATAAGGAAAGCCTTACCAGTTAGATTAAATAGCACATTTTATTTGCCGTTTGTCCAATTCATTCAGTAAATTTGATAATCGAAACGTTGGATACACGTGTCTGACATGGTGCGATTGAAAATTAATATTTGTGAGGCTATTGTCTTCAATAAATTTCTATTATATTGGCCTCTAATTATTTGTTATCGGACACCATTACCACTAAATTCCACACTTTTCTTCACACAAATTTGTTTGGATTCGAGATTTAATTTCGCCTGGTTACAGCAATGTTCGAGCCGCTGTCGAGTTTTGTAAAGCGAGTTTTGTGTACACAATTTGTAAGTTGATAATTAATTTGGTCACAAGGGAAAATGAAATTAGAGCAGTGATGTGTGGTGTTCGATGGTTTTTACCATTTCAATCGCCTGCGACCTTTATCAAGCATGCATACACACAATTATACAACAATTGATGAACAAAGCTTAAACGATTTTGTCTTTGTGAAGTAGCACTAGAATGCCCGGAGTTGGTGATAATTGGCACAAAATCGTGCCGTAGCTACCAGAACCTGCAACTTCATTTCTGCGATTCTGGATAGAACGAGACAGAAATCGTGCTATTGTTAGGGTCTGTAATCAGTTCTATCGATTACAAGAATTGATTGGGATAGTAAACGTCTTTGGTGTTCTAATACGGAGATTTAGGTTCACCAAGGATACGACATGTTGTCTCAATCTGAAATAATCAGAAAGTAAAACAAAATCTCAGAGGCTATCAGATTACAAGTCAATCGTCCAACAACCGCCATGTCAGCCTAACTTGATTTCTCTACTTTACAGTCTACTTTTGAAATAAACTACTTCAGTTATGACACGAGTAAACGTTTTATTTCAAATTTCATACTGGGTGGTTGTCGTCATTTTGAAATCTACAAAATAGAGCGACCGTCGTTTTGAAACTTCATTTAAAATTTTTCAAGCTATATCAAGGAAACTTGACATTTAATGTACAATCTTTTGTGAGCAAGATCGCGAATCACTTTGAAATGATATGAATGTGGGTTTAAGTTCATTCTCACAAAATGATTTAATTTTTTTAGTTCAAGTTGAAACGGATCTATGATTTACGGATTCAACGCAAACTCAACTTCAGGTTGAAAACTGCCCCATCTTTGGTCACAACTAACGTCACGTCTTGAAGGACATTTCTGAGAAATAGAAAACGCAGCAAAGTCTGTGAAACAATCATATTTTGTAAACAAGAAATGGAAACAAAATTGACGAAGAAGAACTGATTGTTTTGCTGGCCAAAAAATCGAAAAATATCATTGTTATATTTGAAACAATATTTTTTCGAAACAACATCTTGTTTAAAAATACCAATACGATGTTAACATCATGTTTTACAACCTTTACAAACCGCCTACCATTTTCTTTTTCATTTCCCTGTCGGATGTGACGGATAATGCTTAAAACATTACAAACTACTTCTAAACATACTGAGGCACAACAATGAAGTGCATCGTGTACTCTTAAGCATTGTACTATTATCTTAAAAAAAGAGGAAAAACTCAGCAAATTTCCTATAGGAAATGTAAAAATCGATTGCTTTAGTTTCTATCTTTCAAAGTGAAAAATAAAAATCATCAAATATATAGTTGCTTTGTTTCAAGTAATGATAATGCATTTCTATTCACCAAATTCTACGTCTAATTTATGAAAACAAATTCTATATTGATGTAATCGATGTCAAATTTCACAAAGAATTGAAATTATTTTGTCGACATCCTGAAGCTTTTTGAGAATTATTTTAAAATTTCACAATATTTTGATTGAGATAAAATTGTATTTTTAGAAAATAGAAATTGGTTGATTAAATTTGATATAATCGATAATAAAATGGGATCGTGTTGACAAAATAAATCAGATTTCAAACAATAGATATAGGCCGAGTTCATAGAGTAAAGATCAATCTTTAACTTAAAATATTTCTAGGTTTTTAATATTCATTCCTAGTGCTGACTAGTACGATTAGCTAAGACCTAATATTTTTAGAATTTATATTTATTCTAATACAACTATTACTTAAAAATTCAAAATCGTCTTCTATTTTTTTTTTCTCTACAACCGTCAACTGAGCTTTTTATTTTGAGGGTTAATTTATCTACTCAATTGTAAGTTAGCTCTTGCTATACCAATTGAACAATAATCGTTCTGTAATTCCAGGTCGACCAGAAAAGAGTGGTCAGAAAACGAGACCTCAAATTCACAAATCATCCGATCATAAAACTACCAGGGTCCGTACTGTGCTGAATGAAAAACAGCTTCATACTTTACGGACATGTTATAATGCTAACCCCAGACCGGATGCTTTAATGAAGGAACAGATGACGGAGATGACCGGATTGAGTCCTCGAGTGATCCGAGTCTGGTTCCAGAACAAGAGATGTAAGGATAAAAAAAGGAGTATTTTCATGAAACAGCTACATCAACAACATCAAGAAAAGGTAAGCAGTTTCTACTTCCGGTTTCCTTAAGACAACTAAGATCCGAAGTGCACGAGGCTTCTGTTTTTTTCCAAAGGAATTTATTGGCATGATTCGGCCGCAAGCTGTTATTGTATTTCATTAGGAGCTATGTTTTTCAAATTCTAAAATAAACATTGCTCTCATTATATATAGTGGGGTGATTCTCAATAACCTTTATCAAAAAACGAAAGCAAGCTAAAACTTTGCGTAACTTTTCAAAATATTTGGGAATTAGGTATAACTACTATACCGGCTTCTGGAAGGCTACCATATTATCTAAGAACCATTGATGTATATCAGTCCATATCTACAGGTATGAGACTCCAGAGCGCCACCTACTGTTATATATTTATCGTATATGATAATATTTCATAAATAGGCTAATTAGATTGACCCTCCTCCATATACACATCTTCATTAGACATAATATTATTAGATAACTTATAAATATACCGTATCCAACTCTTTACATATACGTATATCGAAGATAAAATTAGTATACTGAACTCTTCACTGTTAAAGATAAAATAAACATATCGGAATAATTACAACATGTCAACAGCCTCTTGTGCCAATACTTCAAAATCTGCAACATGAAGAGTCTTCTTGTTAGAAGCTCCAGTCTTTTGATTATCAATCGTTTCATCCTTCAGCAAAATCTTCTCAGATTTCAACAACATAAGTTGCCTACATGTGACAATTATGAATTGTGTATGTTGTTTTTGATGTTTAGAGATCAATTTCTAAATGAAGGAAGTCTTTCAAATCCTGCTTTTGAAGTCAGTGTAAAAGCTGAGGATATTTACCTGAGCAAGAACTATAAAGTACTGTAAATTACTTTAGTAATGGACTAAAAAAATCTTTTCGCCTTCGGAAACCAAAACTTTTTGTCGTACGGGAATAGAATCCATTTCTAAATACAAACGTTAGTCGAAATATGTGACCAGAAGTTTCATGTATATGAGACTGATCTGTTTGACGATCTGTTAACTTTCTCAGAATATCTTATTTTATGGCTGTATACATCTGTATTAGTTTTATTTTAATCTAATAATAATATCAACAGTGCAATCATCTAGGTCAAATATCTATGTCAAGACAACCTGGGGATGGGTTCTTCCTGTTTTACCCAGTTTTCTCCATGAAACAGTGGTTTTTAAAAAATAAATTTTGATTATCAGTTACTCGCGTTAAACTCTACATTCATCCTGCTGAGTGTCGGTCTCTCACCAACGCGGTTATCTCTTCATCTGAACTACTGTGTCGACATTGGTTTGATATCTTACTAGAAAACTAGACTCGATTATTCTTGTCATATTTCTTTTAATAGTTCCTGACACCCAGACGTTCGTAATTACTTTACTAAAATAGTAAATACGATTTTGTATTTTACTACTCACTATTTGTAGCTCTTTGTTCTATTTATGATGTATTAACCACTGTTGTTAAGAACAATCGTAAGAATTTGATAATGTTATAGTCCAACATTATATAGTTTATTTCATCCAAAACGATACTTTGTGACTATTTATGATTACCAACAATTCCAAGCATTGAATTTGGCTGATCGTAAAAAGGCCAGCATGAACCTAAAATCTCTCATAAAATTCTATTTTTTTACGGAAATCGTGAATATGCTGATAGGATAATGGCTGTAAGGTATTCGTGGAAAATTCTTGATTAGCTTTGCGCCAGTTGATTTCAGTTTGGTTTTTGCTGTTACGTGCGTTCAGATGATGACGTCGAAATTCCTAAATCGTACCCCGCGGTTTATCTGTATGTGATCAAATGACTAAAGCGTAACCTTCTTATCACTAAAAGGAAAATAATATGATTGAGGTCTAATATTATTATTATCACAACGTTTATTATGATAAAAACACAGTTTGTATTCTGTTTTATTAAAAATGTTGTCAATTACGTGTATTTAATAAAGTTTTCCACCATTTTGGATGTTTTGTGATATCGACGCTGACGTTCCTTCTTTACAAAACCTAAAAAGATTAAGATTCTTTGCAAACTTGAAAATTAAGCTCATATCTGAAAGTTTACGACCGATTTTAGTTGAACAATCAAAACAACAGTTTGCAAATTTTCTGTAATCTGATCTATGTATTTTAAGTTAGATAACAATTTTCTTAATCCATGTGCATCCACATAAACCAAGTTTATTTCATAGCATTTTAAAAATTTCAAATATTTTTCATTTTTAGTGTTTTATCGCTGTTTGAAAATACTCTCACATATTAAGACTGTTTTTATCAATTGAAACATTAAGTGTAATATCAAGCCTAACGTTCAAGTAAAATTGCAGGTATAATACACGGTAATTTTCTTAAGTCTCTTGGTTGTCTCCTATTACATTTGATGTAGTTTCTAATCCCTAATATCTAACTAAGCGCCGTGCTGTAATTACAGGTTTTATTGTAGTCAGATTCCAGGCTAATCTTCTACACTATATTTACTATCATAATCAACCCTAATTTCCACATTTCATTTCCTTCGCTTGTTCCTCGCTAGTTTTCTCTTGTCCGCTTCGTCTCAGCATAATTCACATAAATTACCCCTCTTCTGCCTTTTAATAAGCCTTTCCGATGCGTGTCTGAGGACAACTTGGTATTGTATAGGGAACTAAAATCTATAAATATAGCTTATTAACGGTAATAGCTGTAATATGAAGAAATTAAATCACAAGTTGAGACCCAAACACTCACAATAACAACTATCATTCGTCATCTTCTATTGTTGAATTTCCCCCATTTACATCCGCGTCGCGTGCCCAATTCGGATGAAATCTTGTGAACCCAACACCAAATTACCTCGGTCGTACACTCTTCATGTTTCCTCACACGAAACCCGTTTAAAGCTAATAAAAAGATCAAAACTCTTTAATTTCTCACGCACTGGCATCAAATCTAATTAACCATGCAGATTTTGTCAACTTCAACCGGTCAAAATCTTTTGGAGGACTGAAAATCGAAGTTGTTGATAAAGATTGAAGAAGTATTGACTAAATGTTGGTTGACTGTTTAAATAATAGAATAAACCTACTAGAAAGTGTCACGTTGATTATTCAAGTGCCATTCTAACCCTATTAAGATGATTATTGATGAAAATTAACCTAGAAAATGTTTTTCTTGACGCCTTGCAGAAGTGGAGAGAGCCTCTTCAGATTCTGGTCCAAACAAAACATGACACAGATCAGAAACTAAGAAACACTAAGATAAAACACATTGATGACTTAGTCGAATAACGTACAAAACATAAGGCAACCACAACCACGAAATTTCCTTGTTTTCCTTCCTCAAGCAAATTTACACTCGCATATGCTTGTCTATCCAAGCTAAAAATTAAAACATCAAACTTAACAAATTGATGAGACAACGATCTGAAAGAATGTTAGTTATTGCGTTTCCGGTTGCGTACAAATATATTAAATCAGTCTATCATGCGTTTCGTTTTAATTTTAATCTGAAAAATCTCAAAATTTGATTGAACCACATTTGATGTTATATATAATGATCAGGTTTAAACGGAGCGAATTAAAAACAGTAGGAAATGTAATTATTTCACTTGGCGACTCAGTCACGATTCAGTGCTAACCAAATGAAAACTAATGAATTCTGGGTAAACTCAGGAAATGATGAAAATCAACGAAGCAAACATATATTAGTATATAGTATAATCCGTTTTAATGACTTTATCGATTACGCTTACGGTTTGTCAGCGTTTTCAATAGCAGATATTATACATACAAGGCTACCACATGATGCGAAAATTTTGGAATAACTAATCAAGCATATTATTGGATTTGTAATAAGAAAAAATATTCTAATTCTGAAATGAAGCTTGCGAAATGAAATCGAATATTCAGTAAATTTGTTTGAATGTTATTAATAATTTGCCGCTGATTTCTCATGGCGATTTGATTAGATGTAAATAATTGTTAGAGATTATCAAGTCGAGCTGTTTTAATTTCCTCATTCAGTCCGACCACCATTCAATTGACTTACCATTTCGTTCCGTTATAGCAGGAAATTAAGAAATGGTCTTATGGAATTATATCTTTTACTCGACTAATTAAAAGCAAATTGTTGGCGTTAGGTATTGTTAGAGGGATTACTCAAGCAACAATCATCTGTTTCTAACATACACATTATTAGAGATTTGCCGTTCCCAGAATGTTTCAATACTACAATAGCACAAACCTATTCAAGTTGAATTCATTTTTCTGCAATTTATTCCAATGCTATTGTTCATAATCTATTCCACTCGTCGAATGTTGCTCCATTTAAACAGCTAGCTTCATTAAGAATTTGAATAAGATTTTCTATTTACATGCACTAGCTGCTATTGTAACTTATGAATAATTCACTGTGCTGGTCGTGGGAGCCTGGTCTGTTAGAGAATACATGGAAATGATAGTGAATACTCATTGTAAAATCATATTTAAAATTTATCAAATGGGCATTACGTTCTGATAAAATTACTAGTATCACATGACTAAGGATCACGTGTATTTACATAGCAAATCACTGGTACAATAAAATAATGTGGTGTCAGCCTTTTAGTATAGGTATAGTTATATTTATTGTATCTCGTCTACGGTTGTGGTTTACCATCGATTAATTTGTCCTTGAGTTTCATTTGGATTGGGATATTGAGAATATTTCGTGTTCCTAAAGAGGGCTGTAATTCGTTGTAATATGATCTAAAAATAAATAAGGATACCAATTATAAAGATTTGACATTCAAGAGTAAGGAGGTATATATTGTATAGAATAATCAGAAATATTTTGTAATTTGTTTTATTTACCATACTATTAATTCTTAAAATGATTTCTGAACTGAAATTGAGATAAGTTAACAATAATATTACAATATCAATTATCAAAATAGAATTTTTTTGGTAAAAAACAATAACATTTAAATGTCAATTATGAAATGTACTTATAGAATAAAAGTTTAATACATTAATTTGTGTATATATACCTCCCACGCTTTGCATATGAGGAGATGTACTCGATGGAATAATTCGACAAAATGACTTATTTTATTCCAATACATCCCACCCACAATTTATCTATTGAATATGTAATATATATATTAAACTATATATTCGGATTAAGAAATGTACGATTTAATTCAAGACATGATCTTAGTAACACATCATATATTCGTAGATAATCCACTTTTAATCATATCGGGATCGGTGACGTAGACAAATATATAACAAACTTCAAGACGAAATATATAGCAGTGTGTTTTAAACGCCTTCTGTCAAACTTTTCATGGAGGGGGTGGGTGTAAAATATTTCTCAGGGGGATGAATTTTATCATAACAATTGCAATCAACAGATTCGACCTTCGTTTTCGTCCCACTAAAATGGCAAAACGACTCTAAATTTTGATGAAATTATCGTCAAAATTTAAGAATTTATTCAACGACAATAGCCTTTAGGAACATTTTAAGTTCCTGAAAATTAAAATAAAGACTTAAAAAAATAAAAGAATAATATTTGAATAAGGCTTAAGTTGTATTATTTTTGTTGAAAAAGACAGCTGTTTGAAAGATAAGTGAATGATAAAATATAATCATTGAAATCGATGCCTGGAGGTGTCCAAATCTTGTACGAGTTTAAATCTACAATAGTATGTCTAGCGTATCAAACACCCGAGCTGATAGTGAAGCATCGTGTTTAAATTACAATTTGCAATTGTAAGGCGCCTGATACTTGATCTTCTTGTAAGGTCGTATTTTTATTCTAAACATATATTTTCATTTTGATACCATTTTAAAACAGACTTGAACACTTTCAAGTTTCCAATCTTGGACTCGTGTCCCCAAACAATAAAAATCTACCCAGAGAGACATAAGCTCTTGTTTTTATTAGACGCTGAAGTAGGTCTTTATGTCCATCTTCAAAAATAGAAATTCTAGTTCAGGGCATGCCTCCTGACAATATAGAAACAATGGAAATTTTAGCAGACTTTTAAAACATAGACTTCTTTTTTGTTTTTATTTTTAAAATTTAAAGTCCAAGAATCATGTAACTGTGCTTCAAAACAACTTTGGCTATTTTTAGTTGAGACCAATCTGTTTATTGCAGCCATTGTTCTTGAGCAAAAACACATGTTTTCCTAATCTGCTGAAAAACATCTTTTGTTTAAGTTTTGAATATTTCTATATTTGGGCATGGAAGAAAAGATCGAACGGATATTTTGTGAACTTATTCGATTAATGACAAAAACGCCAACGTTTTGACGATTGCTTAAGAAGCGTAACGTTTTGTTCAATGACATAATGCGGAAAGTACGAACGTAGGAAGGAATTAGTAATGTGACTTAGTCTGAATCATTTAGGCCATTTTCCAACAAATATCTCAAAATCACGATTTTCTTATTGTCGTCATGAAATGATATTAAACTATTTTTAAACACATGTATTAATATTCATTCATGATTATTACCACATTTCATCCAGAAATACTCACAACAATCTTTTCATTGTCGTTAATAAATTGTTATTAATTCTTGGTTTTATTTCATTAGTACAACATTTCATTATCTTAAAATTCTATTGCTGAAAATCACGTTGTATAAACGTGTAGACGTTGAAAAAAAACATTTCTGGAAAAGCCAATTTTTAAATCTGTATTCTAGCAATAAACCAAAACATGATTATAAATATTGACCGATTTTTAGTGTAGGGTTTGTGGTATATGCTGGTTATCCTTTTTTATTCATATTTTAATTTGTGAATAATATTTAAAATGTTGCTGAGAATCACCCCATTTATAAGTCTTGTATTCTTATCTTAGTATTCCAACCCTTATTTTTATCATCTTTTCTTTGCAGCATGTTAACGGTTTAGGCAGACCATTAAATGGTGTACCAATGGTTGCTACCAGCCCAGTTCGTAATGATGGCACTGGTATGCAATCAAACCAGGTTGACGTTCAGAGTTATCAAACACCGTGGAAGGCTCTCAGTGATTTTGCAATGCAAGGAGACATGGATCCTCACAACGCTCCTTTTAGACAATTGGTGAGCAGTTTTATTGGGTCAAATGAAGAGGATGACACTGTTGTATATATATAGAAGCAGGTCTAAACCAGCCGAATTGGACCACCCCACGGTAAACTGGTGCTTATTACCTACACCCTACCTTTAGATAGGCCATTACACCGGTACGGGGTGGTATTACTCATACCCACTCTAATTTTATCACCGTCCAGATTCCACATCATTTATAGCTTGGTTTAGTCCTGCTTCTTTTTATATTTTAGTGTTGTTTCTTTTATTTGGTATTTATTATTTGTTAGTTATGCACATTTATTTGCTTTTTGATTTTTACCTTCTCCTGAGTCTGTTTTTTGTGGATTACACCCAGTTCTCAACTACAAACAGTGCCTTCGTCTTCTATTGCAAATCGAAAGCTGATATATTCTTTACACTGTCAAAAAACTTTCGTGAATATTTTTAGTACATCACTCCCACAGATGCTTCTCTGGCTCAGGCAAAGATCCCTTTAGCAATAGTAGAATTTGTAAATTCATTGTTCTAGAATTTATTTGTCTACGGCTCATGATTTTATTCATTCGTCTTCTCCTTTGTTAAAGAACCAGAATTGAAGCACATATAAGCACAATAGTGAATCGATTAAACGCCCTTCTTTTAGTTTGATTTTTTACAGAATGCTATTGATATTGTATTATTTCAATAGATTATTTGCTTTATTGATCGTCACCAATTATTCAATGGCCAATAGTATTTTTATAACTTTGATTTTTTGCGTAGATTTGCGTATTGATTTACGCCTGGATAATATTTCTATAGAATCTGGTTGTGTCATTGTTTACCAGGAACGTGAGAAGAACTTGACCTATTTTAGTCCATTCTTTACCTGAATTGTCCCTTATATAAGCCGGAAGTACTTCACCACTCGCTTTATATAGTAACAGTACTAAAGCATGAAAGAGAGTTTCAAAATAAAATAACAGAGAGTAATTCAAACGTGAATAAACGTGGCATCCATTGTTTGTTTCTAAAATATTCAATATAGTTTTCAATGGTATAAAATCCCTGTTTAAAAGCCTTGATGTTCCTACGTCACTCAGATCAAAGGAAGTTTGCTAGCAATATTTTTCGTACACTTCGATTTCAAGCAAGAGATTTTGTGAAGTGTCATTATTATCTTTATAAGCTTATTTATGGTTTTCTTTTTGTGTTTCTCTTCAGATGAATACGTTCGATCCAATGCATCAAGGGTGTATGAATATGAATGGCTCCTCACCGGAAACAGATCCAATGCTGCAGCATCCGGGTTACATGCACACTGACGACATGCCGAGCTCTGTTAATTCCGACTTTCCTCGGACGCCATCCGATCTTTCGAGCCCTATAAGTCAGTGATGAGAAATTGCTCGGAGGCGATAAGGCTAAACAACAAAATATACCTCAGCGTACCGAGTGGCTGTTTGGAAGTGCTATATTTTCCCTACAATGACGATGAATAAGTCACTCGGTATTGTGTGAACACAATGAGATCTCGAACCCTTCAGTGATGCTGTGAACAATGAACGAGACTGAAAGCTGCAAGTTGGACAAATTGAGAAAAATAGAATCGGGGTTGACAATAATGTTGTATTCAACTGTTTAGAATTGTGAAGTAGTGTAAATAAAATACGGAGTCACCAGTTTTAACTCATTGTTCATCAGAAGCCATTTTGAATAATTTATAGCAAAGCTTACGCTAGTAAAAAACTTAAGTTACCTAAATGTCTAAGTTATTCATTGTGATCGAGATCAATCACTGAAATCGATATGGTAATTTACTTAAGGGCAGGATATATTTTAACATTTCTGATTTAAGTCAAATTGATCCAATCTACTTAAATATTTAAATTTCCCGCCATTTTTTTTATTATCGCAGATCGTTTTTTGTTGTTGATATTTGTTGATATTCTAAATTTATAAAAAAAAAGAATTAATTATTTTGTGTGAGAAAATATTGTAAATATTTATATAAATATAAAACATTTCGTGTTAATAATGTTTATATCATTTTATTTTGTGACTTGAAAGTTGACACTGAAGTTGTATGGTCGACATCACTGTTCAACTCCTCATATTGTGGCAATCTGTGTTTGACTGTCTCTCCTTACGTACAGCACAATCTGGCTTATTGTGATAATGTAGTTCTCAGTTCGGTTGAATCCAATTTAGTGCCATTTTGTCCATCATGTCTTATTATTTTTACCATTTTGTCACGTGACGCGTGTATGTGTCTACACTATAAAATTTTATTTAACTTATGCAATAAAAGCGTAAAAAGTTGTTTGTTATTCTCCTTTGCGTGAATTTAATTTGCCTCTTAATGTCTTTTCCCTTTCCTGTAGTAACTACGAATTCGCTTATCCAGAGATATCTATTTTTCAAGATAGACACTGATAAATTGCAATGGTCAGATGTGTACGGACAAAATATAATATTTATTCTATTTCGGAATAAAATATATCGACTGGCATATTCTTTGTGATGAACGATTTGGTAGCAAATTTATTATTACATAATACGAGAACAGACCATGCAGATTCAAAGTATCACGACCATTTAAAGTAAAATTTACCATCAAACAATTTCAGAGTGACACTGACACCTCTCAGAGCTGCAATTTTTAATTTACATTGTGGTAATAATTAACTCTTTAGTCATAACCTTATTCTATTCCGAAGAGAGAGAATAAACAATGATTAAATGCACAGGGAAAAAACTCATAATAATGCTGAATGCGTATGTATGACACATGGCATCAATTTCTCATGAAAATATTGATGATCACAAATAGTATAGGTGTTCTTAATGGATTTTATTTTCAAGATCACGATATAGACATTCAACATTTTCTGCCTTGATAAAGCGATCGAAATTTTGACAGCCGTCATTCATCGATACATTTTTCAAAATTTCAAACTTGTTGAAAGATATTATCAAATTAAAATGATGGAATCCAAATTTAGATATTCATATCACAACTTACCAGACTCTTTTGGATAAAACAATTTTGATTTGGTGTTAGATAGAGGAAAAATATGATTTATATGACGTTTTAAATTCTTAGAATTTTAAATTTTAAAATATCATACAGAGATAAATATGTGGAATTTCAATGGAAATTTTTTAACTCATAATTTATAAAAGATAACAAACCAGAAAAAAAATTAATGAGAAGGGTAAGAAACAAAATTATAAAATCTTTTTAGTTTCGGGATGTACCTTACCGAAATATTTTCACAATTCTGAAACAAAGGATTAACAAACAGTTTATGTTTATGTTCAAAATCCACCTATGGTACTGCCGCAAACAATTCAGGAAATGCAATTTTTTTTTTTTTTTAAATTCACTAAAATTTTTACCTTTCATGTTTTGCGGTGAAAATAGGAATGATACATGGTTTTGACTTGATTAAATTGAATTAAAAATTAGCTAAAAGATCGAATTCAATCGAGTAATGAAATATTCCTTTAATATGAAATCATTCATTGTTTTTATTTCTCGTGGAACTTCTGAATATTGTCATCTGGAAGATGGACTATGGTGAAAAATAAATTCCCGATTCGTTTCTCTACTGACGTTTTCCAGGAGGCAGGATCCACAAACAGGCGAAACTAGTCGATAAAATACATCAATAATTTGTTAATCTGCTAATGGACTCTCAATTTCCGAGTCTCGGGTGAATAGAAAAGCTTAATGTAAAGTAACACATCAACTCTCGGGCTCTACACGTCATACTTGATAACGCTTCCAATTCTGTGAGGTTTTATTTGTGCCAGGATTTTATAGATCTTGTCGACCTTTTCTTTTACTGATTTTCCACAATTTTATGCCAGTTCTATTTTCAGTCACATGATTCTTAAAAAATTTTTTTTAAATATATCGACATTTTTCAAAACTTATCAACCATTATAAATCGTTCTATTTACGTCTTTAGTTGTGCTAAACATTAAATTCATTAATTCAGTTATCAATAAAAATTCATAATTATGCAAAGAAGAATTTGTTTTTGTCGTAACAAAAACTTTGAATGAAAGATACAATATACGAATATAAATTTATCGTAATATCAAACGATTGATATATGTCATAACAGCAATATAAATTCAAGCCAAATATTGTGATATTTACTGAATTTATTTATCGTTCAAATACACAGCTTCTGTCTTCCATTTACACACAAATATTACAAATATCACTCTGTTACCATAGCAACTGATACTAACAATATTCTATAAGAATACCCGGTGTAAAACAAGATAATGTCAACTTTGGGAATCAGTTTCCATGGATATCATCAATCTTATTCACGTAGATCAGCTTAAATCTGAAGTAAATCCGATCATTCCAATACATCACAATGACAAAACCACATTTTCAATGAAAAATACACAGTCAAATTATAAGTACCACATTACATATGTAATCCATCACGTCATAATCTTTTGGATTAATCTCATGACGTTATTCAACTAAAATAGAATTGCAATCATTTAAAGTTGTAATAATGGAATTTTTGAACAAAATCAGAATAACAAACATAGAATTGAAAACACATGAGGTCTGAGGTACATTTATTCATTGTTCTATTTGAGCCCTGATTCACTGGTACACCCAATGTATTTTGAAAGTTATGTGAATAATAGAATTAAGACCTGAAATCAATTTGATCATTGTATTTTTTTAGTGTTTTTGTTTTGTAATACGAAGACTACAGTAGCAAATGGCGTTCTGGAGCGCGAGCATTTCTTTTACAACTACCACAACAGCTAATAAATTAACGCTGTTAATACAGTCATATTCTTTCCATAATATAAACTACTTCAATGAACCGTTATTCACTTGAATATTCAATTCAAGTTCAGACCAATTCAACTTCTTGAAACTCCCTTCATTAATAATTAAAATGAAACTTTAATCATTGAAGCGATACTGGGAGCAAATATTACTTGGTGTTTGTTCTGAAAGTGCTTCCAAGTCAAATATAATACAATCTTCATAATATATTTATAAATCTTCACTCTTTTAATATCATCTCTTAACTATCTCCCATCTTTTACAATGGTGATATCGGCTTTCATCTGATGTAGTCCCATTTTCTATTGAGCAACATAAGCAATAAGCACTTCACAGATAAATGTAATTTATTGTAATTCGAGCGAAAATGTTTCGAGAATATAACAAAATGCAAAATGAAGTGATATAAGTGGATATCGACCCATGGGTATACACAGAACGATGAGCATGCATACAGAAGATTTGCACAATGCAAAGGGATCTATCTGTTGTCGAAGTCGTTGCAGTGATTGCGCATAGACATGGAAATGAAGCAACTTTAAATCCATTAGCTTCTATTTCCATAGCCTGTGTGTTTTATACGAGAACACAGAACAACAGAAGGGGTATTTACATAGAAAGGAAAATGTTAGGCACAATTTTTTTTTTTCAATTAGGCGGCTATTGGATTTGTTTTTGTCTTCAGTTCATATACCTGCTGACATCTAGGATGGTCAAAATATTGTATATTTGAACGAAGTATCTTAATACCTTTTGACAAAGAAATACCGGTCTTAACACACACAGATACCACAAATTACTACCAGCAACTCACTACTAACACTCTAGAAATTGTAGGAATTGGTGATATCAAACGTTTATCACTATTCACAATATTACCTGGTCGGATATTTGAAATTATAAACCATTATACATTTCAAATGACCAGCATGAATTGTGTAATTTAAAAGTTTGGAGTTTCATCTAACGAGCTTTACCATTACAAGTATCTTTAAATATAAGATGATGAATTCGAAAGATGGTTGGAAACGTTATCGGAGAGAAGTAGAGATGTTACCTGGGCTAAGATGGAATGATAAAGCAAGTAATGGAACGAGAGAAGAATTAGCATGAAAATACTAATTTTGTGTATTGTATAAAGTCAATGTTGCGCATCATTGAGAGTTATTGTACATGTTTCAGTCTACCACTCTATGTTATTATGATGTTTATATTGAAGGTTTTTAATTAGAAATTGATCTAATAATCAATACATTCATTTCCTTTCATTAATCAACCTTCAAATATTCTTTTTCATATCCCAAACACCGTGGACCTTCGTGTAATCAATCCAAAGGTTAAAATGTCAAGACCAGTTGTTTGATTGTCTTTTTTCCGAGATATTCATAAATCGGGAGTCAGTCATCTTTAAGTGTGGAATATGGAATGTCGCGACCCACGTTCCAAGATTCTGATCGTCAAATCTGAAACAAGTCACTGATAACCGAAAAAGTTTTGGATGAAAACCTTTGAAATATATCTTCTTTGAGGGTCTGCTATGATATAAAGAGATTGTCATTAA